GTCGGGGCCATGATGTCCAGCGAGTTCGCAGAGCTTGAGCAGGACTCCTACGCCCACGGGCGTATGACTTCTTCTCCTACCTCCTCTGTCTCTCACGTTCGGCTGGGTCGTTTTTTTATTTTAATATTTCCAGCGCTGGCCTCCTCGACTTCAACCCCGTTAGTTCCGCCCCTTGGAATGTCCGGGACCTCTACTTCCCCTCCGACCACGTCCGCGTCCACCTCCACCTGATGAGATTTGTCTTCCGCCGCGCGTGTTCAGGTGTCCTTCTCGTGCTGGCAAGTTTAAAGAGTTGGCCGATGGTCGAGACTTTAGCAGCGACCCGACCATTCGGCTGCTCGAGATGCGGGCCGGAGTGCAAGGTGGAGCTGTGCCGCTCGAAAGCAGAGTCTCGGCAGGAAAACTTCGCCCGCTGCCGCCGTCTTGCCCGCGCGCATTGCGGCGCCATCATTAATAGTATCAAGCAGTGCGCGCCCGATCCTCAGACAATTCTATGTTATTGATCTTCAGCAGTTTACCCATTGGGCTGTTTCCACCATCGGCTTAGCCAACTCATGCGCAATGAACTTGAGGAGCAGGGGCGCGCCATCCGTGCCGACCCCAGTGCGCAGGGTGGTACCGCTGTTTGCCATCTCGATCGCATTCGACGGCTTGCGCGCGCCTGGAAGGCCAGCCAGCGCACTATCTCTTCGAAGGGCATTGTTGGCGCCGACGGCATCGAGCTTGCCGGGCCCAACACCTGCGCGGAGATTCTGGCCGATCACTGGGGCCCTCCGTTCGCCCGCGGCCAGGGGTTCGCAGGGGCCGAGGATGACTGCCCCCGCCTCGCCCCCCCCCCCCCGCGCGCTTCCCTGCTGGCCCCCGCCAGTTCACCCATCAAAGGTTCCCTTGGGCCTTTGCGTTCGGCCCACTTCAGGGCCTCCTCCCCGGGGAAAAGGACTGCGCCGGGGCCCGACGGCCGCTGTTGCAGCGCCTGGAAGACGTCTGGACTTCTCGCGCAAGAATTTTGACGTCTACTTGGACTTGCTCGGGGGCCACCCCAGGAGAGAGGTTTTTGGCGCATCTGAGGTCGCCCTCTTGCCGAGGGGGGGCACCCCGATCCAGGTCGCGTCTTTAAAGCAGTTGAAGACGCGCGCCCAATTGCCTTTTCCAGTGCAGATAACAAGCTCAGTGGCAGCATGGTCGCCTTTCTTATTTCAGAAGTTGCTCGCGACAGGCTCCGCGGGCCCCAGCGATGCCTCGTCGAAGGTCGGCAAATTATGGATAACGTTTTAGATGAATATGTTTATCTGGCGCACTGGTATGCAGTGCGAGGTGAGAAGCGAGCTGGGGCCTGCCGTTTCGATTTCCGCGCAGCCTTCCCGCCCGTGCACCGCCAGTGGATATGTTGGGCCCTGCGTGCTTGCAATATCCCTGGGTTTTTGATCGTCGCTATCGCTCTCCTCTACTCGTCCATGAAATGTGTGATCACGTTTGGCGGTGCTGACCTCATGGCGCGAAACTAGGTTGCCCATCATCGGGTGCGTTGTTCGCGTTCGCCCTAGACCCGCTCTTAAGATTCTTGCGCTTGCTCCCAGCCGAGATCCCCGAGCAGATGGCGGCGTTCGCCGATGACCTGGGTTCTCGCGGCCGCGGACATCTACGCCGTTTTGCCCGGCGTCGCCCCCCGCGTGGTAAGCTCTGGCAGAGGGTCAGGCCCCTTCATCGACACCAATAAGTGTGTAACCCTTCTTATAGATCTTGGTTTTATGCCTGCTGCTGAAGCTGAGTTTCGACGTCTTGGGGTGAAAGTGGACAGGTGCAAAATTCAACATCGCGGGGCATGTTTTTGGTTTGCCATAGGGTGGAATGCCACTCTGTGATCCTGGGCCCCCGCGGCCTCCAAACTGACCCGACGATCCCCGGCGGCCGAGAAGTTGGGCCCGGGGTTCACTGCAAGCGTCGCTGCCCGCAACCAGGGCGCTCTTTCAGTGGCCAGCTACATCGCTCAAGGATTTCGCCCATCGCCGGCCGTTTTGCGCGCTGAGAGAGAAGCTTTGCAGGTCTACGCTTGCGCTCCCAATCGCTCATGCCCGCCGGCCATCTTCGCCTGCTGAGTCAGGATTGAGTGTTCTAGCAGGAGATTTGCGAATTGGGGCTGCGGCTGCTTGCCCCCGCTATGCCGTGAATTCGGATATTTTCCCGAAGTTCGTGGAGCTGCTCGAGGGCGCGCTCAATGGATATGGCTATATCGTGACCTATCGTTGGTCCCCGTATGCGAAGGAAACGATTTTCTGGCAGATGTATCAGGATTCCCAGGGATCCCCGTGCATGTTCCAGCTGCCCGAAGACCTCATGAAGAAAACGCCCATAGGAAGCTCGCCCAGATTATCACGCTCGTTTCTCTCCAGCACTGTATTCCCATACTCATCGCCCCCAGGCTTCGCAAATGGCCCCCCTCCACGAGCCCAGATGACCTCGACCTCGCCCACGGGATGATCATCAGACGGAGTAGTATGGTTCCACCGTTCATCTTCGCTGCCCTTTTCAAGTCAGCATTCAATGGCTGGAACACGACCCGCAGGTTCCGACAGGGCGTTCAGAATTGCAAGTTCGGCTGCGAATGCGTTGGGGGCGACGACATCTTGCACTATGTCGTCTGCCCCGTCGCCCGACCTCTTCTTGTTCAGCTTCTCCCAGCCCTTCCACCTGACTGGGGTCAAGAGCATCTGAGGGTCTTTCTTCCCCATCTCCTCCCTCATGCGCGCGATGCGGCTCTCCTATCTGGTCTCATAGCATTAGACTGTCTTCATTCTACCTTTCAAGCTCTGCGTTTCCGCCCGGTCCCTGCCCCTCCCCTCGCCCGCCAGACGGTCAAGGCACGCATAAAAAGGTCATGGTGCGCAGGGCTCTGCAGCTACGAGGCTAGCTGCGCTACCTGGTGCTGGAGGCAGGACTCGGCCGCGAAGGGGTGGGGCTTCTCCTCCAATGGCTCCTCCTCCCCTCCTTGATGACATATCTGTCCGTGTGTGCCTGGCTGTCTCTGCGCTGGCGCGGTTGCAGTTGCGCCTTGCGATTCTCCCACCATTCGCGGCTTGGCTCATCCCGTCTGCGTGCTGCCACCTGCCGGGCGATTGAGTTCGCGTGGTTATTCACGGAGCTTGGTCTCCGATATTTAACCCTTCCAGTGCTGCTGTCAGCTCGGTCTGACCCGGGTCCTGAGCGATCGGTGCTTTCGCTTATGGTACGCTCGACGACGCATTTGGCTGTCGGCGTGCGTGTTTTGTATAAGCGGTTGGAGGCCGTTTGGGGTTCGCGCGCATGCGCCACGTTTGTCGAGCACGGTCGACGCTGCCAGCGAGTGCGAATGCTGTTCGACTCGCCTGCGAAGGCAAGCGCTTGAGCGAACCAGAATCGTTTTTTTTTTTTTTTTTTTTTTTTTTGGGGGGGGGTAATTTGTTTGTTCATATGTTTTCCAATGCGTCTTGTCTGCATCATCAAAAAACACGGATTCCTCACCATAGTTCGCACCACATCACATGCACAACGCATGTTGGGTACTTTCGATAACGCCACGTCCATTACACCGAAACGTTGCGCACCACAAAGAGTACACCACATATATGGCACCATATCGATTGCACCGCCCACGCACGCACGCACGCCTTGCAGACCATGGGTGTCACGGTATAGAATGCGCAACTTGGGTTGCACCACCTCTATTCCACAGCACGCGCTGCTCCACATATGTTGCACACCATCTAGCGTTAGAAGCACAGAGTTTGGGATCCACGCTGGCTCACATGTCCCAGTGGTTGGCCGAGCCGTGGTTGTGGCCAGCAGGAAGCCGGGCGAGGTTTGAGTTGTTGGGTTCGACCAGTTGTGTTTCCGTTCTTCGGCATCCCAGGCCGTCCCCGGACCCTAAGACAGTCAAGAACGGATCCAATGTGATTAAACATTACAGGATGGGTCCTGTCAGGGGTCTGGGGACAGATTTGGAGCGGGTTTGGCTTCGCCCCCCTCTCTTGGTCGATTTCCTGGGCCCCCGTCCAGTTTAGACCCCAGCCGCCTCCAAGTTCCGCCGCGTGTATTTGGGGGGAATCAACTACCCGAGCACGATCCAATCCCGACGCAGAGTTGGATGTCACGTCCAGTCCATGTTGACCCGCGTTCCGCGAGAAATTCCGATGAACTCCAGCACAATTTCACGCAAAGGGGAACACAGCCTTGTCTACGTCGAGCTGGATGGGTGTGTTGCCGACGCCCGTCCACCGTAATCCTTCGCGTGTCGTTTAGGTGTATTAATGTAGAATCGTCCACATTCCGGCTGATGTCGCGGCTTGACATCATATCCTCACGCGGATCTTTTGCCAGCATCGTTTCAGTCGGCCGCACGCTTTCTGTGCCTTTTGTGTTTGAGAGCAGGTCGACAAGGGATTGTCAAGCGGACCCCACTGTTCTGAGGTAGTCCCTGATCCCAGTTGTTTCCGCAGTTCAGCTGAAAGCCACTGAAGCTCTGGTGGTTTTCAGCGGCGCCATTTCGGCCATCTGCGGCGCTCCTTTGCTTACGCGAGGTGCTCGGCGGGGTGTCCTTGACGCGTGGTCTGTAGCTTTATGTTTGCCTGTTGTGCTCTTGCCCCGAGACCGCAGCGGGCTGTTTGCGTAGCTCAGCAGGTTGTTTGCATTGCAGAGCTTGCAGTACGGTTCTCCGCTCGTTGCCCCCAGAGTACGGCAAGACGTCTTTGGATCCCCGCGTGTGGTGTGGGGGCGCCTTCTTCGTTGTCAGCTGAGCTTTTTTGGAGATGCAGAGTTCGGTAACCAACATCTGATGGGAGCCGTGCGTGTCCTCGAAAGTCTCTCGCGTGTGGTAGTCTGGTAATCGATGTGGATGCGCCGATTTAGCGTCGACTGGCGTCAAATTGTGCGTCGAGTAGCGTCGGCCAGCGTCGAGTCGCAAGAGCCATCCAGATTTCTCCATGTCCTCCGTCTTCCCACCCCGTTTGCCCATCTTCTTTGTCGAGGCCGACCCGAGCCTCATCTGCGGCAGCAACGAGAGCAGCCAGCCCGCAGCGGGGTCCCGCCCGAGGCGCTGGACTTCGCCAGAAGGGCGCCCGTGGGGCTGCAAATCCGATGTCGGTTTCCTGGAGGCCATTTGCTGCGCTTCGGAGTGTAGGCGCGGCAGGTTTCGCGCCGCGTCGAAACGGTGGCGACCTCAGCTCGGGCGGTCAAGGTTGAACGCCGCTCCTCCGTTTCCCCTCCTCCTCCTCCTCCTCTTCCTCTCTCACTCCCTCCTCTCTCCTCCCCCCTCCCCAACCCCCTTGTCCCGGTCGTCCCTCCTCCCTCGCCCGTTCTCCTGCTCATCGTTCTCCTCTTCGCTCTCCCTCCCCTTCTCCACCTCCTCCTCCTCCTCCTCGCCATCCCCCTTCTTCTCCTGCTCCTCCTCCTCCTCCTCCCTACCCCTTTTCCTCCCTCGTCGTCTCCTCTCCGCCTCTTTTTTTGCCTCCTGCTCCTCCTCGCTCCCGACCCAAGGGCAAAAGAGGTCCGACGACCCTGCCTACAGAGAGAGAGGAAGGAAGGCGACGACGGCACCCCCTGACATGCACATGCGGGAGGGGGGAAGGGTGACACGAGGAGCTGGGTTGATCGACGCACCGACCCCGAAGCAGCGGCACGAACAAGGACGCTCGATGCAACCCCTGCAAGATGCGGCAGTCGACCTGGCCGGAAAGCCGTTCAGCAGCGCAAAGAGGCCACGCTTGTGCGAGCACCTCCCTCGCACATGCCTGGGCGAAAGGGACGGATCCAGGTCAACCTCCACAGGGGCAATGATGAGGGTGGGCAGGAGGTGAGGGGAACCAAACGTGGACAAGTCGAGATCGCACTGCTGAATCCCAGGGATAGATCAGGAGCCGAATTCCAGGAAGCTCAAGGAGGGACATTGACGAACGATCACGAGAAAGAGAGAGAGAGAGAGAGAGACAGAAGGCAACGATGAAAGGCACTTTTGAACGACAACAATCAGAGACAACCTCCAATTCGGCCTGCTCTTCCTCCTCCTGGTCCTCCTCATCCTCTCTCTCGCTCTCTGCTTCTCTCTCCTTCTTCTCCTCGGTCTCGGAAACGACTGGTACCGAACGATCTATGCTACCAGAAAGCCGCGATCTGCCAGGGATGAAAGATCCATGCAGTTTCAGAGCTAACGCTCAAGTTGTAACGGCACGACCCTACCGTAGCGGCAGTGCCTTGCGTACCGGAGTCAGCCAATCCCCTCCATTTCCCCCTGTTTGACCCGGGTTTGGGAGTCACGTCAGGTCTTGGAGTTCTCTCGTGACATAGTCCTGGCTGACCTGGGCCAGCGCTGACCCTGGTCAGCCCGTCCCGGACCATCGCTACACCCGCGAAGGACGCGGGAAGTTTCGCAGAGCTCGCGTGGAATCTACGCTCCAGGGCTAGGCCCCCGAATGCTAATGGAATCGCCCCTCCTCCCCTCCCGCGATTGGTTCTTGAACTGGATCCCGAGCTGATCCCCCCCCCGCCCAGGAGCACCCGTAGACAGGAGGGAGGGATCGACGGAGAGGCCCTCGTGGAGTTTTTCAAAGGCGGCAAGCTTGAGACCTCGCCATCCGTGGGGGGCTGCGATCTGCGAGGCTGACACCACTTGCGAGGGCTGCTGGGGGCCCCAGCGGAGTGACGTCCTACCCGGAGTCAAATGAGACCTCGCCATCCCTGGGAGCTGCGATCTGTGAAGCTGTCGCCACTTGCGAGGGCTGCTGGGGGGTCCAGCGGAGTGAGGTCCTACCCGGCGTCAGACGCGACCTCGCCATCCCTTGGGGGCTGCGATCTGCGAAGTTGTCGCCACTTGCGAGGGCTGCTGGGGGGTCCAGCGGAGGGACGTCCTAGCCGGTCTCAAATGCGACTTCGCCATCCTTGGGGGGTGCGATCAGCGAAGCGGTCGCCACTTTCGAGGGATGCTGGGGAGTCCAGTGGAATGACGTCCTACCCGGAGTCAAATGAGACCTCGCCATCCCTGGGGGGTTGCGGTCTGCGAAGTTGTCGCCCTTTCGAGGGCTGCTGGGGGGTCCAGCGGAGTGACGTCCTAGCCGATCTCAAATGAGACCTCGCCATCCTTGGGGGTCTGCGATCTGCAAGGCTGTCACCACTTTCGAGGGCTGCTTGGGACGTCAGCATAATGACGTTCTACCCGGGTTCGAATGAGACCTCGCCATCCCTGGGGGGCTGCAATCTGCGAAGTTGTCGCCCTTTCGAGGGTTGTGGGGGTCAGCGGAGTGACGTCCTTCCTGGATTCACATGAGACCTCGCCATCCGTGGGGGTCTGCGATCTGCGAAGCTGTCGCCATTTTCGAAGGCCGCTGGGGGGTCCAGCGGAGTGACGTCCTGCCCGGCATCAGATGAGACCTCGCCGTCTCTGGGGGGCTGCGATCTGCGAAGTTGTCGCCACTTTCGAGGTCTGCTGCGGGGTTCAGCGGAGTGACGTCCTACTTGGATTCAAATGAGACCTCGCCATCCCTGGGGGGCTGCGATTTGCGAAGCGGTCGCCACATTCGAGGGCTGTTGCGGGGTCCAGCGGAGTGACGTCCTACCTGGATTCACATGAGACCTCGCGATTCCTGGGGGCTGCGATCTGCGAAGCGGTCGCCACTTTCGAGGGGGGGGGATCAGTGGAATGACGTCCTACCCAGGTTCGAATCAGACCTCGCCATCCCTTGGGGGCTGCGATCTGCGAAGCGGTCGCCATTTTCGAGGGCTGCTGTGGGGGTCCAGTGGAGTGTGGAGTGACGTCCTACCTGGATTCAAATGAGACCTCGCCATCCGTGGGGGGCTGCGATCTGCGAAGCGGTCACCACTTTCGAGGGCTGCTGGGGGGTTCAGCGGAGCGACATCCTACCCGGAGTCAAATGAGACCTCGCCATCCGTGGGGGGCTGCGATCTGCGAAGCGGTCACCATTTTCGTGGGCTGCTGGGGGGTTCAGCGGAGCGACATCCTACCCGGAGTCAAATGAGACCTCGCCATCCCCGGGGGGCTGCGATCTGCGAAGCGGTCGCCACTTTCGAGGTCTGCTGGGGGGTCCAGCGGAGCGACGTCCCACAAGTCAAGTCAAGTCAAGTACGCCTTGCACCAGATGTTGGGTGAGCAGATGTGAAACGCAATATACATGCGCATACAATTCAACCACAATGCCTTCAGCATCCGGCCCAGGCCTTCACCGGCACTCGTGCTGCACCACCGTCTCGCTGGAAGTAGGCAGCGAGTCGTTCGCGGGAGCCGGCAACCTTGAGGCAATTATTCCAAGCTAGATGGCCCCACGTCTGCCTCGGTCTGACCCTCTTTCTCGGGCCGGCGACGCTCCGCAGCTCCAGGGTGCCCGGTTCAAACACCGAGCGGCGCACGGGATTTTGGCCGGGTCGGCGCGCTAATTGGCCCATGAATATCATTTGCCTCGAGCACGGTGGCGTTTCGACACTCTGCTGATGTATGCCGGAGGCATTCTGCAAATCGTTCAGATATAACGATTCTGGAAGCCGTCCAGCCGTCGACGTTCGGCCTGGTTCAAACACGCAGCGAAGAGAGCGTACAGTACCTTGGACACAACGAATACACACAAGATATGGAGCTTTGTTTTCCGCGTCAATGAAGCGTGCGACAAAATCGTGTGCAGTATTTTGAAGTCTTGCATAGCTGCTCCGATTCTACGTGACAGTTCCGACGCGCATCTTCCGTCGACAGAGATCGACGTGCCCAAATAGACGATGGAATGCTTGTTGACGAGAGGAACGCCAGCGTTGTCCGAGATGCCGTCAATTGTGCGCATCTTCATCAGCTCCACCTTCTTCCAATTGAATTGCAGCCCGTACCGTAGCTTGCCCCGAATGTCTCCACGTTTGTCATCAGCTCCTGCACGGCCTCTGCGCTGTCTCCGATCAGCAATGTGTCATCCGCGTAGACCAGATCTCGGACCCGCTCTTCTAGAACTCGATCGCCTCGTCTCTCCCGAAGCTCTCTGTGAGCATCGTGTAGAAGCGTAGTCATAACAACGGTAAACAGGAATGGTGACAATGGACATCCTTGGCAGATTCCGTACTCTTGCTCTCTCTCTTGCGACGTAGCGCCGAAGTCGGTGACCTCGAAAACACGGTTCTCGTAGAAAGCAGCAGCCCTGTTTACGAAACGATGGGGGCAGCCAAATCTTCGCAGAGACATGGCCAGCGCCTGAGGCGACACGGAATCGAAAGCCTTAGCGCCAAAAGCAAGGTCTTCCCATCACGGAAGGCCCACGTCTCCTCCAGCACCCGCCGGGCGATGAATATGGCATCTGCGGTGCCGCCATTCGATCGAAACCCGAATTGTGTCTCCCAGATGCATTGTTCAGCTCTAGCGTCCTTCATCCTCTGCTACAGTACGAGTGCGAACATTTTGTATCCTATCGGCAGAAGGCATATCGGGCGATAGTTGTTGCTTGCTGTCTGCGGGGTCCGGCCTCTTGTATATCATTTTCACCTTTGCCTCCTGCCATGCATCAGGGACCCGCCCCGTCTCCCATGCCACGTTGCAGAAACGAGTGATCCACTCGAGCGTCGTGGTGCCGCCTTCGGTGGCCGCTCTGCAGAATTCCAGGGGTAAGTTGTCCAAGCCTCCAGCTCTGCCTTGCTTGAGTTTGACCGCTGCTTTCCTTACTTCTTCCTGCATGATCGGGTCGAGGACGATCGGCAGCTCGTTGTTATGCATATTATCGGTTGGCATCGCCGTCGTCGGTCGCACCGCCCACTGCACCCGCTCGAGGTGCGCCGCCAAAGTGTCAGCCCGGCTGTCGCTATCCACGACCTGGCCCGCATCGTTTGTGAGTCTCCACTGTTGCGGGCAAAACCGTTTCCGGAGCTTTCTGATCTCGCCCCAGTCTCTGTTCGCCGTCAGCTCCTGCAGCCAGGCGGCCCGGTCGTTAGCGACAGCTGTTTTGATATGTTTCGTCAGTTTCTTCTTTTCTGATGTGTCTTCCATCTGTCGAGCTGCCGCTCGGCGGTCTATCAGCTGCAAGGTTGAAGGTCGCGTCCAAGGTTTCCTCTGGCGTCGCGTCTGCCGCGGCAGAACTT